TTTATTTTTGTGTACTCTTAACAGTGCAGTGGTTTGTGCAGAGTTAAAGATATATCTGTTATAACTGAGTGTAAAAGATCATTACTGCACACAACTCAGAAACACACTTTGAAGTGGTTCACAAATGGTTGTTTCTTGTATGTGGAAGTTTTCGTAAAAGAGATTGATTTAATTCTCTGTTTACCTAAATTCATTTTATAATTCTAGTTGTGTTGCTAGCATAATCTGCTTCATATTGCGCTGCCTAATGTAACAAGAGAAAAATATGAATCTACCCCTGGCCCGTGTTGCGACACTGCTGACTTGACAAAGACAGCGGAGGCAACAGCAAATGTTGTAATGAGTGGCCCAAAATAAACCTGTATACTCCGAGGACATGTACACACGAGGAATGTCGGAAACGTCTTGTGTCATTTCTGTTGCCCTGAACAGGGGGTGGAATCTTGAATAGGGGAAAGGGCAACACGGTAACAACTGCCTCTACGAATGTCTGCAGTAACTACACGCAGGTCTCGACCAATCAGAGAGCCTAAACAAACCAATTTGAATACCCATAATTACTTGCGGTTATCGTGGTGCATAATATGGAAATTGGTAAGTATGAATGTTTATTTGATGTGGTTGCGAAACGAAAGTAGACATTTGCGAACGAAATTACAGCTCCATATTAAACATATTATTTGTGTATATGAATGTTATGCTTACTAGCACAAATATAATGAGAAACATATAGAATTCTTTCAAGCCTAAATTTTTTTAGGTTATCATGTACTGTCATCTAAATGATATTTTTTTGATATGTTCTGCAATTTTCGGTTTATCCCAGAGATTGTCTGTTGAATGTGAAGGAGTTCTAAGAGTACCGTGACGGTGTTATAATTTTTGTATTGCTTCTTGCAGCATAAAAGTGTCAAAAACTTGTGTTGCTGCTGCGTGCTTGTCATCCAGCAAGGAAGGCATAAGATTCTTCAGTTTTCCAAGGGATCCAGCACGGTATGTCTGTTTTAATTCATGGTGTAATCACTATGTGTTGCTTAATCCAATGTCTTGGAAAATACATATAGAACAAACTATACCTAAATTAAGTGCAGCTTGCTATGCAATGA